AGCGAATTACAGCGCGAACGCCGAAATCGCACAAATTTCTCTCTTTTCCCGAAAATGAAACAGATTACACGAAATTAATAGATAATTAAAAGCGCGGTGCGTAAACGAGATGTAACCGCGACAAAGTACCACGGTTTACATTCATATTTTAGATCAGTTAGTCTCGTGAAATATCTATATCGTTTGATAAAGAACCGTCGCTTCAACATGCAATTCGTTTCTCATTACAAGTTGTAGAAAGTTAATAATTATTCGAGGAACGTTACTTGTTACTGATAAAGGTGTACAAATCAAAAGCGTTTTATCCCTTCATTCAACGCGATCGAGTCTTGGAAACCGATAACGCAAAAGTAATAACACGCACGGAGCGACTCTCGCCACTACTTGCCGGCTCGACGTTCTGCGAGCGAGTGAGAATGCCGCGACCTTCAGGTACACGATGGCACGCAAACATCATATGTCATCGCACCGATAGAAAAACAACTACGAACGTTGAGAATTCGGTGTCTTTTTTTTGTTCCGTGACTGTTACTACGTTTTGTGTATCATTCTGCGGACTTATTGGTATTGATTAAATTAACGGTTAATGTCGTTCGATTGAGAAAATGTTTCTATTCATGTAAAATCGGAGTTGTGAAGTGTGCTAACATGTAGCGCTGAAGTACAATTTTCTAAGAACTTCGAGCCGCATATACGTGTGCTAATTTGTAGTAAGGCGAAGTATTTACAGACACACAAGTCTTCTGTTTGCTTAATGGTGGTGTGTTACTGTTTATACTATGCGCTTTGAAAGAAAACGAGCGGATGTGCATACCTAAACAGAATCGTTCTTACAACCAAGTCGGGTTTTAGCAAATATTTTTTTAACCAGTTTGACATAAAATATATTCCGTTATCATACCATAATGGTTGTACATTCTCTGATTTTCGAAAGAGAAAAGTGCAATCTTGGACTTATAATTAAGTAAATGGATTAAATATTTTTCTTCTCGTGCAACAAAAGCAAAGAAATCCTAAATTTCTAACACGATTGGTATAATATATTCAGTTTGATATAGTAAAACTTGAATTTTTAACATTTATATGTTGTACGCTTTGAGTCCGAGGGGGAAACCGCTGACCAAAATCTTGTACACCAATGCTCACTAATGCCCAGTGGGCATTACTTTATCTTATTATCTAATTTTATCTTATTTATCTTGTTTTAACTTTACAATGCAAGGCCTAATGCCCAAATTAATGTCCAAAAAATGCCTAGTAATGCTTAGTAATGCCGCAAATTTGTACACCACAATGCCCTCAGCGGTTTCCCCCTCGTTTGAATTCTATCGTACACAGTTAATAATTAATCAGAACGAAGCGACTGTACCGTATTGACATAGTCTGCTATAAAATTTGGCAATATGTGCATCTATTCTCTCAAAATCAATGACATCCCAGTCTCTATTAACGATCATTTGAGATCCTTGCCGACATAATTATCCATGTTAAACGTTGATACATGCGTCAGCACCGTTTTTTCACGTTCCTGATATAATGAGAAATCGTTATACGTGCACGATTCAGACCTCGGTACGGCGCGATAAGATCCTTTGACAGAAGATGTACGGCGTTTGGTGAAAGAAACCGCCGGATCGTACGCAAGAACTCGTTGCACCATATTCGGAAGCGCCGCATTTTCGCAGGACTGGACGAAGATATTTCACCGCCCCGAACAGAACCGCACTTTTTATGCTTGTTAATCTCAGCGTGACAGTCGGTTATCAATAATCGCTGTTATTGCTTATAAGATTTAAATAAGTCATCGATATATCGTTTGCTTTCATTAATCTTTATACACGTGTGTTGGTACACGGAGAGAATTTTCTCTTAAATCCCGAAAACCATGTAATTGTAGGACAACATGGCTCGAAGAATTTTATGAGAGAAATTTAGTTTTTTAAAATTTCAAAAAACTCAAAGTTCTTCAAGATGCCACGTTGTCATAATTACGTGATTTTCGGGGTAAATTAAACAAATTAATTCTCTCATTGTCAGTGTAACTTCTGTTGTGTGTAGAGCTATATTAAAGCATCATACGGCAACTTTTGCTAATCTTTTCGAGTTAACTGATTATTCTAACATCGGACAATTCGGCTCTTCTTCTTTATCTGATTAATTTTTAATGACGACTTATTCGAATAGTAATAAAAATATAACACGCCTCGGTTTGTGTGTCATCCAATTCAGTGGTAAATAAAATAAAAATAATATTATCCCTCCTCTGTCTTCTGGACCGACAATCCCGTTAGTCTTAACGACGGTCTTTCCCTAATGGCTTTGAGCTTTCGTGAGGTAAAGCTCCAGGGCGACCGACTTCCGCAAAAGACAGATTGTCTCGCGTGCGTTGATCTCACGGCTTACTTTACTTTAAGTACACGATCACCATTTGCGATTTCTTTCCGTCTGCATGTTACTCACGTAAACTACGTTTCCTGAGAGATAAGTACGTCCATTCATTCATCCATCGGACGTCCGTTGGCCTGTGTGCCTTCCTCGGGGCTCGTTAAAGCGCGCTATCGACTATGGATGACTTCCAGATTCCAAACGAGGAGTCGGTCTTCTGGACCGCCAAGCGCACTGCACGGCGCGTCGCATTCATCGCAGAAGTCAAGTTCTCCCCGTATTTGGGGACTGACGTAAAATTTTCTTGTTACAAAGTTCTTCACGCTATCCATCGATCAGGAAATAGAATGTGTGCTAATTGTAAGACCTCTCGTTGGAGCAGTCGTGTGACAAACGAGCAGGATTATGCAGTCTGCAAATTACCACTGACAAGATCCCTTCTTGCGTTACGAGGTGGTCGCAAGTCCTTTCGACGTGGCGCTAATTGAATATGCCGCGATGCAAGTGCCGCGCGTCGCTCGTCTAAATATAATTCTCCAGACGTGTCCAGGCGTGTGCTGGAGGGATATGTGTCTCGCGAAACGTGCGGGAGGAAGCGATTCAACATTCAGTAAACATTCCAAAATGCGTGAAAGCTGACATCACCTATCTTTCTATTTTTATCGGCGTGCCGATGTGCTCGTAGCTTCCTTATAAGCCGGTTGCATCACGACGCATGAAATCTGCATGCAATCAATTCGCCACCGATGCGGATGACGGCGAGCAGCGTTCGGTCGACGGTATATTATCGTCTCGTGTGCTTAGCAATACAATAAAACGACCAGGTACTTATAGCACTCGCGGCTTGCCGTCGGCCGACCTAAATTTCGAGTTTACCGCCTCAGCCACCGAGGTCAACTGGTGTCAACGCGATAGATGATGATGAGCCGCCGTTGCCGCGTCGGCAATAATTCTACGAGCGAGTAAAACCGTCGGCGCGGATCAATGACGGCTGCTCCACTTAATGTCTTTTAAATTACGAAAGTATTCCAAGCATTCTGTCATGGACCGCGTAATAACGAATAATCGAGGATCTCCAAGTTAAAGTGGCAACTCGCGCGCGAAATCTCTCCTTCGCCGAGACAAAGTTTGCCCGGAATACAGATAAACCACGCCGTAGAATAAATATGTTTGTTTTCGTTATCGAAAAAAAGTCACATATCTCAGTTTTCCTCTGAATTGTGGTTATCGGTTGTTTCTCGGCGCGATAAAAATGATATTTTGTGAATAGCCGTAAACTTCTTTACTAATTTTCGACGATACCAGTGCTCTCAGAAATCAATCAGTGGATTATCACTGAAAGCAGTGAATAGTCACTGATTTACAGTTGTAAACAATTTGAGTAGCTTCTTGTCGCCAGTGGTAATCAACCAAGAGAAATTTATTAAAAATCGGCCAAACTAGCAAAATTGATGTTTTATTTTAGTCACAACAGTATCAGTCAATTTTGTCAGTTTGGTCGATTTTTTTAAAAATTCCTCTTGGTTGACAAATCAGTGACTATTCACTGTTTTCAGTGACAATCCACTAAGTGACTTTTAGAGAGTGTGAATGTATGATTAAACTGTAAGCAAAGATACCGATTATGTATGCGGAATAATCAGTGTCTAATGTCACACGCAATGCACTTGCGGCAGAGATTTGAGATTTAAGATTGATTAATCGCACGTATGTATGTATAACGTCAGATTGTAAATGTAAAAAAATACATATGCTAATATACAGCCCTCATCATTTGTTAATTCGATGATCGCGGTTGAATTTATATCCAATTCAAAGTATTTTAAGTACTGAGATTAGATATGAGATTTAATTCGCATTCGCGAATGCGAAAATCTAAGAAAGTCTAAGTGTTTTCCCAATTTTTCCGATGCTTTGAAAAAGTTATCGGTTTATTTGAAAGACGAGCTTTAGGAAAAAGTTAATTAAGTACGATAATATATATTCAAGAGCTCGTACGCCAATGAATTTCATTATATTAAATTATATTAAATAAAATGAAATACGTAATATATTTATACACGTATCTATATTTGACTTCTGTAATTTTATATTAAGCTCGGTTTTCTCATTAACTGTTAACCAGAGATTAGTCGACTTGCCATCTTTTTCTACAAAGAAAGAATCTTCTTTAAAAATTTAACCTGAAAATAGTGTAATCGTGGGACAACACGGCATTTCAAAGAATTTTATGAGTTTCTTAAAAATGTATGGTAAACTTTAAAAAAAACTCATAAAATTCTTTGCAATGCCGTGTTGTCCCACGATTACAATATTTTCAGGATAAATTTTAAAAAAAAACTTCTCTCCAGGTATATTATTACCTAAAAAAAAACTTTTTTAAAGAAGGTAAAAAAAGACACTTGGAGCGAGACGCTACCGTGTATCTTTTGATCTAAGAAGAGACAGAGAATGGACTAACCTCTGGTTAACAGTTAACCAGAAAATAAAAAATACTGGGCCTTAGAGTATTTCAAGACTTGCTAAATGCCCCCCGAAAAGTCTACTAATTATTAGGCTAAGAGAATAATATAATAATATATTGGTTAATTTATAGCAATAATAATATATTGCAGATGAACGAGAAGACGTGCAAAAGAAGACGTTCGCCAAATGGATAAATTCGCAGCTTCTCAAGGTAAAGGATCTCGTTCGGTCCAATTACCATTCGCCTGTTATTACACACACTCCATTTAATCGCGGGGCTGTACCGCATGCGAGGCATGCGAGCAGTTTCGCTCTTAAATCTCTCCATGCGTGGAACGTAATAAGCATCCACTCGTTCGTACTTTTGCGTTCGTTATCTCCTAACGTGATATAATAGCTGCGCCCGTGGGACGCTACCAGCGATGAAAGAACCGCGAGACGGATGTTTAATCTGTCTTACTTTCCGTAGAATCATCACGAGCCGATCAGCGATCTGTTCATCGACTTGCGGGATGGAAATCGCCTCTTGTCACTCCTGGAAGTGCTCACTTCTAAGACTTACGTAAGTGCGCCGCGTGCCTATCCGCTACGATAATCGCGATTAGCGCGGCTTAGCGGCAATCCGTCATTTCGCGCGAGTTTTTCCACGACGAGAGACTGTCGAAAGCGCTGTTACAACCCTTTCTACACACGGAGAGACTTTTTTCTTAAAATTTACCCTGAAAATCATGTAATCGTTGGACAACGTGGCATTTCGAAGAATTTTATGAGAGTTTCGTGAGAAACTTTATGGTAATTTTTGGTAAAACTTTAAAAACTCACACAGTTCTTCAAAAAGCCATGCTGTCCCACGATCACGTGATTTTCAGGGTAAATTTTGAGAGAAAATTCTCTCCGTGCACCTGAGGATGATCCTACCTGTGACTCATCCGAGCGCACCCTCAGAAAAGATTTCTATTACTGAGACAAAAATATTCTTGACGCATTTATATTTCTCGTAACCTCATTTAGTATAAAAATAAGACAATATCAAAATAAAATCAATAATTCTTATTCTCCTCTATCGAATTGAAAAAGATTGACTTACTATATTGAGACAAGAGTGACTTTATATATTCTTGCGTTTAGAATAAATTTTCCCTTACATTATAATAAATTAGCACCACGATATTCGACAAAGGACGATACATACTATTTTATTCTAGATTTCAGAACTTTTCATTTGAGATTAAAATATTCCTTTCTCTCTAATAAATATGATTGGCGCTATAGCGATCCTATTTTATCTTCAAGTGTAATAGCATTGGATCCGGAAATGTTTTCTGTGGGCGTGGGGAAGTTTACATAGGCATTTTAGTACGATCGTACTAAAGTACGATTTTTATATGATTTTACTATTGATTTTTGATCGTTTTGATTTTCCTCTTACGTAGAAATGGCAGCTGAGTTCATAAACGGTCTCGGTACAGCGATTTTTTGTCTATCTTACCCTCTCGGATGAGCCACAAGCAAGACCATCCTTAGGTGTGGAAAGGGCATTAGACCGCGCGTTAGATCGTTAGAACATCTTCTGGTCGCGACGGCGCTTCCTAATAAAATTATTCCCCGTGCATTCCGCGTCAGCACACTCGCGCTCGCTCGTGGCGAATTGCGAGCAGGTGCGCGTGCATCGGGGATATTTGCATAAGAGTGCAACGATTACGAATCCGCGGTAGGCGTAAGAATGTTCCATTCCCGAGATATAATATAGGCAGTTCGCTCTCATCCTTGAAATTTATTTTGCATCCAATGGCCCATATAGAATTAGGACCCTTTATGTTAAAACAAGTCGAGCCAGTTTCAGGTATAATTACGCGGCTTTGAAGCGCGAACGATGTTAATAGCGAGGATGTTTATTTTACAGAAAAGGGAACGCGGTCGGATGCGAGTGCATCATCTCAATAACGTCAATAAAGCATTGCAAATTCTTGAACAGAATAACGTAAGTAATTGTACACGGAGAGTATATCTCTAGAATTTACCCTGGAAAGCATGGTAGTCGTGGGACAACGTGGCATTTCGAGGACTTTTATGAGAGTTTATCTCATTAATATCCACTGCAATGGAAAATATTAATTAATATCCACCGCAGTAAAATTAATTTCACTAAAGTACCGTGGTAAAGTTTCGAAAAGCTCTCGTAAAATTCTTGGAAATGTCACGTTGTCCACGACTACCATGATTTTCAGGGTATATTCTAGAATTCTCTCCATATAGCAATAATACTGTATTATGCCAGAAATATTTGACTGCTAAAGAGAAACACGAGATAGCGAAAACAAATTTTGTTTTAATATTAATTGTAAGACATCGTATATACCCAAGTAAATTAGATTGTTGATACAAATATATCATATAAATTTCTGCCAGTGCTGTACGATATTATATATTTTAGGTGAAACTTGTCAACATTAGTAGCAATGACATTGTTGATGGCAATCCTAAATTGACACTCGGTTTGGTGTGGAGTATTATTCTTCATTGGCAAGTAAGTATTCGAGCTTTACACACAATTACGGCAGAATTCTTTTTCATTTCGATCTGTCAGTAATTCAGTCGTTTCATAATTTTGGAGGTAGTATCTTTCTAATTTTGGCCGACAGACCAGTATCAGCAAAAACACTTTGCGTGTAAATTAAAATCTGATTAGAACATGTCTTTGCTGGATTAAATATCGATCGTTCATGTAGTTTGAATTTATTCTATGGAACGAAACCTGGTTTGTACGAGACTATTTTCTACTTCCAACTGTAAAGGATATTGGAAATTCCTTAAATGAAATATATTTAAGCCAGACGAACGACGACGTACAAATAACTTTCATCCGACAATGTTGTAGGAATTAATGAACCGTTTGCTTTTAGTGAGAATAGAATTTAGTATCCTTAATTCAGATCTGCGATCAAATGGAAGGTTAAGCCAACGATATTCGTGTTTTTATTTTATTTTATACTTAAATGATAGAAATATATTATAAAATATTTTGAGAAAACGAGAACATTTTTAGATAAACTCATTCTGAATTTTATTGGCACGTGAATAATTTGTATTTGCCCCGTATGCAAGTTTAGTATTATTAACTTTTCTTTTACGTTATTAACAGGTACATTATCATTTGAAAGATCTAATGACAGAATTACAACAGACCAACTTAGAAAAAACACTTCTTGCCTGGTGTCGTCAAAACTCACAGGTAAAAATATTTTATGTAGAAGGAAAGAATCTTCTATTATGAGTTGGGCAATAAATTGACAATAAAATCAATAGACGAAGCCTATTAATTTAGCAAAAACCCTACTATGTCAGGAGCTTATCTGATAATAGGGGACTTTCCTCTACATATATTGAATTCGTTAAAATAAAGTAACAGTTTTATTTTTATAATCATCTCTTTCTTAGGATTATCCAGGCGTTGATATTAAAAATTTTACAACATCCTGGTCGGACGGCTTAGCGTTTAATGCGATCTTACATAAATGGAAACCTCACTTGTTTGACTTCAATAATATCGCGCGTAAGCATCCAAATGCCAGATTGGACCATGCTTTTCGACTCGCACAAGAACATCTTGATATCGAACGTCTTTTGGATCCCGAAGGTAATTTAATTCGAGTGTTGCGTTATATATAATAATCATTTTAAATAATATCGTTTTGGTTGTCAAGTTATCAATTTTGGTTAACAACAATCGTTAATTCTGTCGGAGCAAGTCGACATACGATTTTGTTACAATACTATACTTGATTTTAGACGTGAATACTTCAGTACCGGATAAAAAGTCCATAATGATGTACGTTATGTGTCTCTTCCAATCGTTACCACATTCGGGCGACGACATTGGCGAGCTAGATCTCTCAATCGCAAGTGACAGCACTCCAGTGAGTCCCGTTACAACACCAGGAACAGACGTATGTGAATCGTGATTTAGCAAATGAACGAGAGCGTTATATATCGTATCGACATATGACCCTTGAAAAAATCAACTTACAGACTACTCTAACATTCGGCAATTTCGGAATGCCAGCATCTCGCCCGATGAGCCTAGCTACAAATGTTTCCGTCGAGCTTGGCGGCTATCAGGTCGCGCTCGAAGACGTTCTAACGTGGCTTTTGGAGGCGGAGGATAAATTGAATCATGCCCCGGAGCCTGGCTCGACTCTAGACGCATTGAAACAACAGTTCCACGAGCATGAGACCTTCTTGATGGAGCTATCCGGTCATCAAGATGGGGTAGGAACTGTTCTAGAGGAAGGTGCAAGATTGTTAGCTGAAGGCGGATTGCATAAAGATGAAGAGCACGAGGTTCGTGTGCAGATGTCTTTACTGAATTCTCGATGGGAGGGGCTTCGAATGCGCGCCATGGAGAGGCAAACGAGAATCCACGAGGTACGTGGTATCTATTTTGTTGATGAAAATAATACATATCGCAGAGGGGTATTTTTAATACGTATGTTCGGTTAGTTCTTGCAAATCAAATCTATGATTATTTCTAGGTATTGATGCAAATGCAGCAGGCCCAGCTAGATGCGTTACGACAATGGTTGATGAAAACGGAAGATCGAATTTCGCTGATGGCAGCAACCGAGTTGAATCCATCAACCCTCGAGGAACAACTGAAGCATCTGGACGAATTAGAGCAAGATATTCACGCGCAACAAGACGTAGTCGACGGTATGAGGAACATGGTAGTGGTCGTGGACGAAGAAAATTCCGAGGCGGTTTACGCGCAAATGGAGGACCAATTGTCTGCCCTCGGTGAACGTTGGAGTCACATCTGCCGGTGGAAAGAGGAACGACGTCAGCGATTGGAATCTTTATCCACGCTTTGGCAGAACATTACCGATGATTACAAAAGGCTGGTAGCGTGGTTGAACGAGACGGAAATAACATTAAAGCAAATGGAGGCTAACCCGGCGTCCGAATTTGGCGAAGTGTTAGACAGAATAAAGAAATTGCAAGTCCTTAAAGCAGAAATGGATATAAATCAGAAGAAACTAACGTCTCTGCAGGAATCAATCCAGGATTTAGATGGCAACAGCTCGTCTTTAGAATACGCGAATATTTTGGAAAAGATTGAAAATCTGCAAGATCGATGGGAAGCCGTCGGACAAATCATGGAAGTGCAATCCCAAAGGGTAATTTAAAACTTTAGAATATTACGTTAAAGAGATACGTTTTGCTGTTAAATAATACATCTATTATATCGCGCATTAGATAACAAATTCTGGATTTGAGTTGGATTTAATGTCCGAGGAGAATGTAACAGCTGTTAAAGGGAACGAATGGATGTCCGAAACGGTAACAAGTATAGCGTATAAAGAAGAGATTGCTGCAACAGTACGTATATATTTTCTTATTTTTCGCAGTTTTATTTTGTATTCGACTTTCGTGACTAAGTAATACTTCTCTTTTCAGTCAACACCACATAGCGATTCGAAGAAACGTCGCGTTGACAACACTACTAAACACGAGTTTGAATCGGCATTGCTTCATCTATATAAATGGCTGGATTATGTCGATTTAGAAATCGGCCGTTCGGAGGGGGTGTTTGACGAATTGAGCGTGGAAGAGAAGAGAGTTGTTTACCAAGATACTCTGACGGACATGGATTCGCATAAAAATGAATATGATAAAGTTCTTGAAATTGGTAAACGGCTTATCGACGAGTTAAAAAATGCAAACGAATCCACCGAAGAAGAGGAATCCAAGATTAAGGGCATACAAAATTGTTGGGTAGCGACAAATAATCGTCTCCAAGAGATAAAGAGACGCATAGATTATCTGGAGGAAGTGAAGAAATTCCGGAGTGAACTAGCTAGTCTAAATTTGATGCTGGAAAGTTACACAAAGTGGTTCGATACAAATAAAGCAAACAATCAGATAGAACCATTTAGGGTACGCTGAAATGTTGCCCTTCAATTTTTAATATGAATATACGCTATTTTAATCTTCAAACATTTTGTTCAGGTTAAAATGAAATCGATGAAATCCCATAACGATCGCGTAAAAAGGATGCTCGAAAAGGCGAAGGAACTGTCAGAAAATCAAGTTGCTACTGCGGAAACTAGTAATGTGGGCGCAGACGTGAAAATGTTTTGCACCAAGTGGGAGAATTTGTACGCAATGTAAGTATCGTTGTAAATAAATATATATACATGCTATAAACTTGACGCGTTACTAAACGTAATACATTCAGGTTGTCGGAACGATTGACTGAAATAAGTAATGCTATCGATCGAACGCCGCCTAAAAAGTATATTGAGGCAGTCAACAATCTGATGTCGTTTATTAATAATGTGGAAGGTGTTCTATTGTCAGAACATATAATTATGTCAGATGAGAAGATTATGGAAGAGCAAATGAAGAGATTTAAAGATATACAAAGCTCGTTGAGAGAACAGGAAGCAATTTTCAAATATGTCAATTCTACTGGACAAGATTTAATAGCGAAGATAAATGACGACTCCTCTGGACAGCGGCTTAAAGATGAATTGCAGGAGTTGAATACTAAGTGGAGTGATATTCCCATCATTTTGGAAGAGAAGCAACAGACTCTTACCAAAGGTAAATAGAAAATTAGCAACAAATATGTAATAAGCAAAATAAGTGCTTGCTTTTATTTAGATATCATATTTGTATTATATTGCAATTTCATAAGACATTTATTAATGCAATGCATGTTTCAGATATCGCAATGTTGCAAACGTTTAATACCGAATTTTCTACTCTTGAGTCCTGGTTCGAGAAATCATTGTTGTGCCTGCAAAATTTATCTAAAGACAACATTACGGATAATGTCGAAGAAATGGAGCACAAATTGAAACAAGTTCATTTGCTTTCTCAAGAAATAGATAAGACGAAACCGCAGATAGAAGCACTTCGACTGTCGGCAAATGGAATATTCGAAAAATCTGAACCTAATTTTGCAAGTATGTTAAACAGCAAATTGGAGGCTGTAACATATAAGTGGAACACAATTGTTAACGAGGCTAAAAGTTTAAGCGACAAGTATGAGAGTACTTTACAGAAAAATGACAACGTAAGTACGCATAAACTTCACAAATAGAAGTGTAAATATATTTTACTGCACAACGATTCTGTTTCAGATTATTAATGGTATAGAAGATTTTACAAAGTGGCTGTCAAGTTTAGAGAAAGAGATACCGATAGAATCAAGAATAACATCTTCGGTTGAGCTTTTCCAAGTTCGCGGTCGGTATCAAGCGCTGAAAGACAACATTGACAAACGAGTGGAAGAATTTAGAAACTTGAACGAAATGGGAAACGACAAACTATTAAGTTCGGAAGGAACATCCGTGCAAGAACTCGGTAGACGCTTCACTTTCTTAAATGCACGATGGACGGATGTTACAGATCGTATATACGAACGCTATAGACACTTACAAAATGCTAGTCATGAGTACGGGGAATTTCGTGCTTTAGTGGCACAGGAGAGTGACTGGTTGGATAAGTTAGACAAGCGATTAAAAAAGTCGCCTAAAACTGCTGCGGACGCGGAAGAAATTTCGGAAGAGCTGGATGTAAGTAAATTGCTTAATCTCGTGATAATTACTTAACAGTAATTATCTTATAATTTGAACCAAATAGCTGATAAAAATTAAAATTAAAAACATTGATTTTATAGCATTTTTTGCAATGCTGTTCAGAAAAAGTTAAATTAAGTTCTCTTTGTAAAGTTTTGTAATTTAATCCGATTCTTTCTATGTATAATACGCACACGATGTATACTCGAAAGTTATATTTGTTACGTTTAAGGATTTAGAAAATTACATACGAAATCATCCGGAATCTAGACTTGAGAAGATTCAAGAAATTGGTAAACAACTTATTGACAGTAATATTATGACTCATTCTATCGAGACCGACGTAGAGGGATTGACAAATCGATGGGAGAACTTAAACAAGCAGGTATGCACACACTTGTTACATATCTATGTTTGTCACTAATATATAAAGTGTACGATTATATACTAAGACATATATTCTAAAGAGCTTAGGTTGTCGAATTGTATGTATGTGTCAAGCATAAGCACGAAGTTTTGAGACTTTAACAGCCTGTAACCATGCATGTGGCATTATTACGAATTGCTCAGAACGATTATGTCCGCGCGAAAATTATCCCAGCTATTATTATAAAGTTATAAATGGATGTGCAACAGAATATTCAAGAAAACCTTTAAATATTATATCGTTTTTGTACATTATATTTCTGCTTGGCTGAGAAGAGTTGTAATAATCAATTATTGCAAGTTCAATACTTGCTTCGTAACGTTAATTTAGTTGGAAAGATAGAGTCAAGGATAGAGTATTATGTTTTGAGTAGGCAGGGCAGCGGGCCAAGCTGTTGGAAGGATCAGTGAAGCAAGCCCAACAATCGGAAGGGCGTATCCTTGCCCTTCAGCATTCTTTAACACAAATAGACTCCGTACTAACTGCACGTCTTGATTGCGACCTCACTGCTGATGATTTGCCTCACGATTACCAGGTCTGTCCACGAAGAAAATGATACATATATTATGTCGTATTACAATTAAAAGATTAATACACAATCTGAAGATATTAGGACCGTATCAGTGTAGTTTTGTTGCTTGTGAATAATTGCCAATTAGAAGTTTGGTTTTAAAGAAGCTACACTTCTGAGATGGTGCCTCTTGGCATAAGTTTGTCACATTATTAACTAATGCGAGAAACATTTACCAATATAGAAATTTGTACCAAGTAACAGCATATTAACATGTACAGTTATTGTGATAAATATATTATACAAGGAATTTAAAATAATTTTTGAAAAAGCAAGAAGTTATCAGGAGATATCAATATATACATGTTTTTTTATGCTGTATGTATATAACGATTTTGGAAGTAGCATGATCGAAAGAATGTGGTTGTTAAAATTTGCATCTTTTATACATAGATTTTACTAACTAATTATATAAGAAGAATGTAAAATTTTACTAATGCATATGGCGTATCACCAAGTACGATATATGGCAATGGAACACAATAGATAATATTTATGTAAAATTATATATTGTGGCCGTGCAGAAATTAATGGAAGAGTTGGAACAACAGCGTGCTACGCTCGAGGAAATGTCATCGCAAATTGAATCGTACAAAGCTTCTGGCAAACAAGAAGCGGCACTTCGACTCCAAGAACAAATGTCCCTGATTGAACAGAAATATGCCAAAGTGCAAAGAAAGTTTCAACGCTTTCGCTGTCCGGCCAATATAGAGTCTAGACTATCGAGAGCTTTGCGAGAACTCAGGGGAATTGAAGAAGCAACTTGTCTGTTAGAACTATCGTCAGAAGATCCCGAAGTCATCGAGGGTCAATTAAAACATTGCTTGGTAATATTAAGTCACACATGTATTTATATAGTGTACGGACTAAGAGACTAATGCCCGTATGTTCTTCGTTGTCTTACAGCGTTTTTATCAAACTTTAAGTGAGATTAAAAGTGAAATTGAATGTATAATTGTAACTGGAAGAAAGTTGGTTGAAGATAAAACGGTACTCGAGCCAGATAAATTTTCAAAGCGAATTGACATGTTGAAGGAATTATATAATAAGGTATTTAAGTTTATTAATTTTACAAACGAATATATATATACATATCAAGAGAACGATTCAAATATTTAAATTTGTTACAGCTTGGTCTTCATATAACGGAATTCAAAACCATATTAGAATCGGCATTAGATTTGTCACGCGACATGCATAAAAATATGGCGTATATTAACATGTCTGTCGAAAGCATAAATAAGGAACTAGATACGCAAAAGAGCATGCCTGATCTGCCGGTGAACGCGATATATGTACGAGTAAGTAGAAATTCCAATTTCAGGCCATTTATTTTATATTGCAGATAAACAATATTGAGTATTAATGATGTTTTTACCGAAATAAATTGTCTTTTCACAAACTATCAAATTCATAATTGCGTCATTACAGGAGACTCTAACTGAAGTAATACCGCGTCTCAACGTTATAAGAGACAAGTTATTTGTATCGCAAAACCAATTCTCAAAACTGTGCGATGCCATGTATCTCGAATCACTTAAGGAAAAGATGTCTGATGTAACTGTAAGATTAGCTAACACAGAAAAGAGATTGCGACTCTGTCAAGGCCCAGAGGTAAATTGTTTTTCGTATGATATTAAATCTGAATATTTTAAACAAATGTATGTACGTTTCTTTTATTTTCTGCAAAAGGACGAACCTAACGTCGACGAAATAAACGCGTGGCTTTTACAAGTTGAAGAGAAGTTGAACAATTTAGATGCCGTTCCGATCGAACAACTTACAGAACATCACTTTGAACAGTGCAAGGTACTGAAATACTCGTACACTATATTAAAACACCATATGCAAGAAATTGCGTATTCATCCTCGTAAATGCTTTCAACATTATCTCATTATTAGGCTGTGCAAGGCGAAATGATAGAGGCGAAACCGAAAGTTAATCAGCTTCAACGTTATGCGTTTTATCCCCAAGTAGCCGAGGTATGTGAGAAATGGGAGGACATCTCTAACAGAATACAAGTACGTATTTGACTTTTGTTTTCATCCAAAATTGAAATTTGTTTGTCTATTATCTTTTTTTTTCAAAGTCAATTTTATCATTCATTGCTTATTCGCTCATGGCTTATTCTTTGCTTCATACTTTAACAATCGGTATATGTAATGCTTGTGCTTATTAGTACCATTACGTATATCTCTATCACATAAAACATCCTCATTAATACGTAAGAAATTTTATATTCCAAGACACGCAAAAAAATATCACTGACTTATCTCGAGTGTCAATTTATATTAAACACTTTTTTTAATATCGGAAATTTCTAACATCAAAAATGTCATACCCTATTCTTTTTTGCAGCAGGATTTAAATGGAGCTACACGTATTTTAATAAGTGTTACTTTATATATTATTTATATATCTTAATTAGCGTTACAATAATATTTTGTTTTCGAGAAATTTTTGATTATATTAAAATAATACGTGTATATATTAACTTCGTATTACTTTTATATTACTTCTCGATTGAATGGAATATCTCGATTCTGTCCAAGAGGTGGCTCTATCTCTGTACATAGCGTAATTACTGGCACAAAATAAGTATACATTTTGGTGGCTGGACGGATTTGTATTTTGTTGATTGTTTCATGGTATTGTCTCTCCCCTTGTATAGAACCTACTTTTTACGAAAAATACCGGCAACAAGTTGCAAAGCTAGAGTTGAGTGATAGCGCAGAGATTGTTTTTACATTGGTGATGGATAATACACAAAAGATTCGGCTTTACATGCACAGTGAACCGCATTGTCACTTTCCATTAGACCATGCTTAATATTGTTCCACTATTAACATGCTCTTTCCATTAACTGTCGATTGTCCATGAAGTTTCTGTCACCTGTCATATTTTCGCAGGAATGGATCCACAAAATCACAGACAGTTTGTTAATAAAAAGTAAAGCAGAAGCTTCTAAGGGGAGAGACAATTACGGGCGCAATAAATTATCTAAACAGCTGGAACAAACTTCCGCGCATTCTGCCAGAAAAGAAAAGAAATTAATAGACGAGAATAAAGAGATTTACGGCATAGGATATTTTAATCCTGCATTTGACGATAATCAGTGCGCCGTTGTTCACACGCCGGAAAGCTCGCCCATCGATGTGCCTCATCGAAGCCGGAAGTCTTCCGCCAAGTCGGAAAAAGTCAAAACCAGAATCGTCGACGTCAGTAGGACAGTTAGACGAAAGTTAGACATGAGTTCGGTGCCCGATGTTGTTCAGACTTCTCAGCCACAAGTCGTTCAGGTTGACGACGACCTGCCGTCGCCTTGTTCCGACACGGACGCGCACATGGCCGACGAGGAGGAATTCTTTCTCGCTAAAAACAGCAAATTGTTCTCCCAGGTATCGAGCAACACTTTGACAGCAACAGATACGAAGACAGACTTTAGCACCGCTTGCGCGCAGCAGAACCCATTTCGAGTTGTAGAAGTGAAAGAGATGGAGATTGTAAAATCGATCGCGTCTCCCGAAGATCACGTAATCTTGCCGAGTGCCAACGTCAGCGTTGGACTGATGCCGCAAGTAGTCGAAAGGGTGGAAATTGTTGAAGATACCGAGACGGAAGCAGAATCTATCGACACCGATACGGAAGACAAGGAGGTCAAAGGGAAAATATCTTCCGGCAGCGGTGCCGCAGAACAGATTGTTAAGAAGAAGGAACTCGTGCCAATTTTAAAGAAGAAAGCTTCGGCTGAATCTCCCGCGCGAAATATCAAGAGACTCATACTCAAGTTAGACTTGGACACTGATCAGGAAACTGTTGATTCAAGTGGAGGCGCAACACCTTCCGAGGTTAGGCTATTGAGGGCTATTGAGAAGGGGCTATTGACAAGGGAAGAGGCGGACGCAGGATTTTCAAATGCTGAACGTAGCAAGGTGGATCAACAATTGAAAGAAAGTTCAAATAAGTCACCCAAGATAATATCTTCCTGGAAAGACACAGAGAGTGTGGCGGAGTATCTGATATTGGACGATAACGAAGAAAGTGAAAAATCTGACGTGAAATCCAGCGAGCAAGCGGAGTGTGCTGCGGCGCGGAAGTCGGTAACGATGCAAGGAAACAGGAGTCAGAAGGAAATGACATCTGCGAAGAGTCCTGGACGTTTTACAGTGCGCGAAAATCTCGGTTACGCGAGCCGTAGCGAGGAAGAGAATCTGCATAAGAAATCACCATTGCTGAAACGTATGAAGAGTCTATCGAAAGACGACACGTTGGAAGATTGCGAGAGCTTTTACGGCAGCGACAAGGAAACGGATGATGCATTGATATTTTCGGACGACACGGAAATTGACGTTGGTAGTTCCAGTTCGGATGGAGAGGATACTAATTTAGGAGAGCATGTTGAGCACCTCTTGGACAAGGTAACATGCGTGTCGCGCAGACGCGGCATTCATGTCAACCAGTCTGTTAGTTAATCCAAGATATCGATTATATAAACCCGATTGTAAGAATTGCTGCTATGTCTTACACAATGTACCTTTCCTCTTTCTTTTCAGATGAAAGTTGAAAAGTCCCTGCCAGTCTTACAGCATAGAATGGAAACGAGAGCCGTTCGCGAGAAAGCGCTATTCAAAAGCCCGATGGGTATCTCTCGTACGGCATTGGAGACGAGTATCCTGGAGTTTGAACAGTTGGCACAAATGATGCTGTGCAGGATGGACGTCATGCTGATGAGCATCAGCGGTATCTCCAATGAGAAAGACCCTACGAAGCGTCTTGAGGTTTGTATAATTTATCTAAATTTGTTCAGGAGTAAAGTATCACTCACCGATCGCGCAATTGATATACTTGTGTAATGCAGATACTGAAAAGTGAGATTAGCACACTGGCCCCAGACGCAGCGGCTTTAATCAGTAAGGGAGACGGTCTAGTTATGACGATACACATGACCGATCCTGCACGAGCAGAGAAAATCAAACACGAGCATCAGGACAAGCTGAGGAGCAAGTGGCAGCAAGTTATGGCGGAAATTGAAACGCGCAGGAAACAGGCGCAAAAGGCGGAAGAGGTTCTGTGGCAATATAACAACATAATTGCGGAATTTGAAGACTGGTTCAGGGATGTACCGCTCAAGCTCGAACAGGCTAACAATTACGAGGGTCAATTGGAATCATTCACGGAAGAGTTTGATGCGAAACAAGTTAAAATACACAAGCTGAACGAGCTGGCCGCGGAGTTGAAAAAATTAAACGTTGGCTATTCGGAATCGGTGCGCTATAATATCAACAGCAATTGGCAGAAAGTTAGCTCGCAGTTCAAGAGATTCAGCGGCAGCAAAGACAAGGACAAACACGTGACTGATAAGAAAGTAGAATTGGTATGTTACAATATCCATTGTGGTAAATTAATTACTAAAACATTCAAGTAAAACGAGTTCGTGGGAGAATTCATGGTGGGATTTATTGATACGAGTTTGATTTTTTTTCAGGATATTGGTGGCGTTAATCCGCAAGAGTTTATCGCACGCATCAGCAAATTGAGAGACGCGATAGCGACCGTGTCGCGATCTTTGAATTCCTTGCCGCTGAACGGCAAAGATTACGAGCGGTTCGCAAGCCAGGAAGAGTGCTTGAAGAAAATTAACAACGCTTTAAATATTTTGAAGCCAAGCGTCGACGAAGTCAATTACGTTTGCGAGAGCGTCACGCGGCAGGCCAAAAGAGAGCAGTCCGAGCAGATAAAACACCTGAGCGAGAAATTGCAGGACGAATGGGCGGGCGTTAATCAGAGCTACGTGGAAAGGCACAACCGGTGGATTAAATGTTACGAGAAATGGAGGGAGCTCCATAACACGTGCCAGACATTTTCGGAGTGGTTGGATAAGATGGAGGACGCATTAAAGAAGTGTCACGTTTTCAGCCATTCTAAAGCGAGCAAAACGAAAACATTCGAGCTGGAGCAAGAGGTCTCGAGGATGCAAAGGACGTTAAATAATATCAGTACGATGAGCACAGATATATCCAGCCGGGCCACCGCCGAAGACGTCGCCGAATTGCAGAGTATAATTGAAAACGTCAAGCACCGTTGGCACAATTTGGTAGCCGAAATAAACGCGCGGAAAGAAAAGTGAGTAAGACGCGCGTTTTCAAGACATTGCAACACGAAATCGAAATTATTGGTGAACGCTTCTAATCGCTCTTTCTAGTCACTTAAACGTTTCGAAAGAATCTACGACGTTTCATAATTAAAAATCTGTAATTTATGAATTATGAAGTTACGACCTGCTAATGCAGAGCATGTGGTATTGCGCGGAAAGCTCGACCCAGCATTGAGCTATTTCAGTTGTGATTTGCCTGTGCTGCTGTGGTGAAGTCAGTCAACTCAGAATAACCTCAGAATAAACGAACATCCTCGAGTTTCTCTTGTAAATCACGTTTTCGTGAAAAAAGAAACGGCAATAATTCTTACAACTACGATTACGATAATTCCAGTAACTTTTCCATACACATAACAACAGTATTATTAATAGACGTTTAAGCGTGCTCCATTTACGCGTTACGTTTCGAATGTATTTACATTGACGTGTTGTTTAAGGAACTTTGCCATGGAGAGAAAAGTGAACAACGACGGCAGGATTTTGGAAACGGCGTATAACATCGTAGAACAAGTGAATACTCTACTGGTGTCCGCGGCAAATCCTTCGGACGAAACCTCATTGTCGATCCGACTGTCGTTAATTAAGGTAAAGTGCAACGTAGTTTTATTTAAGTTTAGTTCTTTTTTTTACTATCTTAGTGCAATTCATTCCGCAAGAATAACTGTAAGCGTGAGAAGAAGTTGTGCCATCCGCATTTTTGTTCCTCAAACGAACGCAGAAGTTTACAATGTTGGATGGACAGTAATATCGCAACGGTGACTCAATTTCCGCGTGCAAGACGTTCACTATTTTCGCGAGGATCACCTTTGCACGAAGCCACTCGATTCTCAAAATAATGTCGCGCGGGTGCGAAAGCGTACAGCGCTAAGGAATACGTACTGTTGAAAAACACTCTTTAGAACGCTCGATACTGTTTAGATGCGACTTGGATAAGTAACGGAATTATTCTCTCCAAGATTCAGTGCCCATGGGCCACGGCCCGGCGCAGCATAATCAAATAAACTGAAACTTGTCCTAATAATATCTCTACATTTCATGACTGCACATGCCGAATCGTGCCAGGATATAAATAGCATTGAACTCTCACTTTCGAACAGCTTCCTAGTACAGTTCGACAATGCCTTCGTTCTTTGTCTTATTTTGTAGGCAAATTAACATTAAAAGTATCTATGATAAGAGTTGTAACTTTTCTTCGTTGCATAAATGCTTGTTTTAGCGTATATTGAAGCCTTTGAAAATAAATAACAAGTCGTGTTATTTCTTTAATTGAAATCTAACGAGACGTTTGCAGGCGAGAGAAGAAGAACTCGTGTCTCGGAAAAGGACTTTGCACACCTTAGTGAGCCAACATAACGTTCCCAGAGAAGAGGACGAGAACAACAAACTTCTCGCTGATATGGACAAGGTTTTATTTTATATAAAGCTCTTAAATGTTATCTTTGAAATTTCGATAACTCGCTGCGTAATATAACTACTTGTGCGTTTAATGCTGCTCGTCTAGGCCAACGCAAATCTTTCGAGCCACCGCGAATACGTGGAATGCAAGCTTGCGTCGCTCAGAAAGTACATATGTACCCTGGATGCCGTTATGGCGTGGGTCATGGAGACGCGAACGCGACTGAGCATCTCTCAAGACCTGCCGCAGCACGGGCGTAATGAAGTGCTTAAAAATATTATGGCAAGTTGGAGTATAATATTTACATAATTAACGTTAGAAAAGGCGCCAACTTGCGCTTGTATTTGATATCATTTTTAATGAAAATTATATCTCTCCAGTCTAAAGTCGAAGATCGCGAGATGGAGGTGAAAGATGTGTTAGAAAACTACACCAATCTGGAGAAAGAGTGTGAATCAGCGAAACAACCGGTCTCCGTGGAATTGCAGGTATACAGAAAAATGCATTCTTTATATACAATTGCCAAGATTATTGTCGTTAAAATCATTGTTTTAAATTCACTTTAGACTCACAGTTTCTATAGCGAAACCTGAGGCATTCACAAGTTTTCGTATCTTCGTGTATTTTGCGTCTTTCTACGTAAGACGTTTGTGCGGTTTTTGATATAAATTTTATATATTAAAAGAATTAAATAAAATTAATAAATCTTTATATTATTTGCATATTTCACGTACGTTCCTTCTCTCGATTATTTCACGTGTTGCACGGCACGTAAAGTTATAAACGAAATTACCCTCTTGGGTTTCTAACACGAATTTTTAATTATATTTATATACTTTACGTACGCGTTCCTCGTCTCGATTATTTCACGTGTTGCACGGCACGTAAAGTTATAAAGGAAATACTCTTAAGTTCCAACACAAATTATAAATCGTCTAGGATGGCTTTTACATAATGTTATGCATATATAACAGGAGAAGCTGAAGAAACTCAGAGAAGACTGGCAGTTTGTAAAGTGCTACGGCGAAAATGAAGCTTCGGTCGCAATTTCTACTGGGGCTGCATCGAAAGGTAAGATAAATCGCGTGCATTCGGATCGCTTGAAAAAGTTTCCCCGAGTTCCTTTTATGTACCTGTAGCATTTCTGCTTCTCTAGCGATATCGTTAAACGATCCCTCTTTGTACAGTCGATATATAGAAGACGGAACTTTACTTTACACTGGTCTCTTCGATAATGAAAGGAAATTTTATCCTTCTCTAAACGCATATAAAATAAACTTTCGCGGCCTTCTTGGACCGCGCACGCATTCTCTCGCGGCGGAATAAGAAAATGTAATTTTTAAGAGTCACCGCAGTATTCTCGCGCAAACGCGTCTAGTCGAGTGCATTTTTAAGCTCGACGAAGCTGCGCCGCTGGTTGAGATGGTAATTTATGGATTAAACGGTTCTTCCACTCGCCGATATAGGAGCGCGGGAGAAACAAGCAACGGAGAGCAACAATTATGCGTGGTCTACAATGCGAGTCGCAGAGTCGTAGTCGTAGGAATAATCGGCTGCGATTGGTCAATCTCGTCAGACACATAAGAATTGACCAATCGTAGTCGACTATTCTTACTCTCTAAAATTTGTGGAGTGAAAATACTGCCATGGAGTGAAATGTTCACCCTATTGGCGTGAATATTTCCTCCAACAGAGTGAATATTAACTCCAATGGAGTAAACATTTCACTCCATGGCAGTATTTTCACTCCACAAATTTTAGAGAGTACGACTACGACTTTACGACTTCTATGTAGACGAGGCTTTAAAGGCTTGTGTCCACGAACTTGGTTCTAGTTTCGAGAAATGTGTAGCCAATCGACTTGCAGCTTTTATGGAATAGCTGCAACTTGATTGGCTACACATTTCTCGAAACTAGAACTTGGACCAAGTTCTAGCATCGTGGACA